ATCTTCACACACACACACACAAACACGCACACACACACACACACACACACACACACACACACACACACACACACACACACACACACACACACACACACACACATAATCAAAGAGGTAAATGAAAATAGAACTATTTCATTACGATAGTTTGGGAGATCCTAAAAAGAAAAATCATTGCCTTCTGTGTCTCCTTCCAAAATTTCGTCTTTTTTTGTTTTTTGTTTTTTTTTATCTCCTCGCCCTGTGCAACAAATTCAAATTCAAATTCAAATTCAAAATCTTTATTCGTGAATATGGTACATAGATATCATATTTTACAATCAACACCCACAGAGTGTATAAAAAACAAGCAAATTGTAAAAAAAGAAAGTACAAAAATCCTAAGACTTAATAACTTAATAAAACAAAAATCAAGCAGTACACAATTGAATCAGCAATGTGTCAATTTCTTGCGCTGACATGCCACATTGCATTGATCCTTCATGACATTCCAGTAGTTCCTTAATCATTGTCGGTCTCCAGTCACGGCCTGCGACTCTCTGCTTCAACATTGTTTTGATTCTACTAGCATTATGACTAAAAAGCACATGAATATTCAGATTGAGTTTTTCTAATATATTATAGATATTCCTACACATGTATGATTGCAGTGACATTAGACAATTTCGAGAAAAGAAAGATATATAATTACTTTCATGGTTGATGCCATTCATGGAAAAAAAAACAAGCATTCTATGGTAGACTTGATCTTCAGCGCTCTTAGAATTGATAAGGGATGGGAAAAGAACATTGTGAGTCCTTGTAGGAAGATCAAGTAAATACCTGAAACCAATTCTCCAGGATTTACACAGTGACTTGCCCAGACGAGAGATTTATTAGCTGGCATCCATAAAGACTAGAGCATTGAGCATTGAAAAGCATACATTTGGTTGTATAGCTAAGATGAATAAATTCACGTTTTATGCAATTGCTTCTCACCTTCAGATCTTTCGAAATATTGTCACATTTTATATAATCACCTCTTGAGGATAACCAATGTCCGAGATGTTTTTCAGTTTCCTCCATTGACAGAGGTGCGTTTTCAATATAGAGAGACGATAGTTCTAGATTGTCACTGAATAGAATTGTTTTGCATTTCAAAGGATTAAAAATTAGACCAAATTCATCGGCATAAACAGCACACTTATCCAAAAGTTTCTGCATAGTATATTTAGTAGGACTTAATAGAATAATATCATCGGCATACACAAACACAGAAGCACATTTATCTCCCATATAGCAACCAAAATTGGATATAATGAAAACCTCAATAAGAGGGTCAGTGTACAGAGTAAATAATAATGGCGACATCACGCCACCTTGCTTCACACCATTATAAACACTGAAATTCTCGGAGATTGCATCATTAAAGCTTATGCAGTACATTGCATTCAGGTACATATTAATTAGCAGTCGAATAACCAGGGGGCACATGTTTTGGTATAACAGTAGTTTAAATAGTTTATCAAAATGTTTAGCATAAGTTAGTAATTCGTTGACAATCATTGTGCATTTTTTGGTGAAACTATTCGGCCATTAACCTGGGAGCTTAGTGGAGCTTAGTGGTGGTGAGCGGGGGTGCGGTGGGTGTGTACAGATGACACCTTGGCTACGTGAACGGAGAGGGTAGGCAAATGTCACCCGAATGGTCGGAACACAAGAGGTGATAGTGGCTTCCGTTGAGATATAGTACACACTTGAAAGGAAATATAATTCCGAGTTATCACTGCACATCACTGTTCACTAAGTATTCACGCATTATATATGCACTAAATAGCTTTCATGGTTGCCTCTGGCCAATAGAAATTGAGCTTAAACGATGGTCGTCCGTTTTGCACCCCCACGAGTCCACACACGGGTCCACACACACAACGGTCGCCAGCTGTTTAATTCTGTAGGAATATTCGGTAAAAGATATGTGTCTATACCGTAAGAGTCTTTAATGGAGGAGGTAGAAAAGGATGTGATTCCATTAAGTGTTATGCAAATGAAGGAAATCATTGAACACATTTAGTATCACAGATATGCCGGTCGCTAGTAACATTTTTGTTATGAAGAAACGTAATTTCGGAATGTGATATTGTTCCACTGTGGAAAGGAAAATACGCAGGTGTCGGAGGGGAAGTCACCGCCGTGGCACAAGTGTTAACGCGACGAACCGCGGTTGATTAGGAAGAGCATTCAATCAGGCAAGGGTGACACCGCCATATAACCTCTCAATACTGAATTGAGAGAGACCTATGTCCTGCAGTGGAATGAATGGCTGTTGAAAAAAAAAATATATATATATATATATATATATATATATATATATATATATATATATATATATATATATATATATATATATATACATATATATATATATATATATATATATATATATATATATATATATATATATATATATATATATATATATATATATATATATATATATATATATATATATATATATATA